TCTTACAATTGGAGAACATATGGAACTCAAAACAACTTCCAGCCAATATCAAAGTGAGAATCTTCAATACGAATGTCAACACAGCCAGTTCTACTGTACGGAGCTGAAACTTGGAGAACTACAACAACCATCATCAAGAAGGCACAAGTATTTATAAATAGTTGTCTACGTAAGATACTCAACATCCATTGGCCGGATACCATCAGCAACAGCCTTCTGTGGAAGAGAACAAACCAGCTTCGAGCTGAAGAGGAAATTAGGTAAAGACGATGGAAATGGATAGGACATACATCACGAAAATCGTCAAACTGCATCACAAGGCAAGCCCTAACTCGTAATGCTGAAGGGAAGCGGAAGAGAGGAAGGTCAAAGAACACATTACGTCGGGAAATAGAAGCAGATATGAAAACGATCAATAGGAACTGGAAGGAGCTGGAAAGGATTGCCCAGGACAGGGTTGAATGGTGAATGCTGAGGAGCGGCCTATGCTCCTTCACGAGAAGTGACAGGCGTAAATAAGTTAGTATGTAAGTTGGAAGTGTTTGGAATCGTAGTAGTTTTGTATAATGCTTCAGAAATTAAGATGATTTCTTGTAGATCTCAAATTTACAGGTTATAAACTTAACAAGTGAAGTTTAGAATCTTTTCATATTAGATAAATTTTAGGTGTTCTCTATTTATATAATTTTTGTGGTGGGATGTATCCCTATATTCAAATCGTATGCCAATCGATGTACTTTTCATTAGTCTAAAGGTTGATGACGATGTTTTATAGATATGAAGCACAAGAGAGAAATTCCAGTTTAACGAATATGAAGAGAACTTAGTGATAATAATAACTGGTCAATAATTATGTAAAATAATGTTTGGTAAGGTCTATAGCAAACTGAGAGGTTGAAAATGCTGCTTTCCAATACACAGTTCGTGATTTGATTGTCACTCAGAAATCTGCAGTGGATAAGTACCTGATTCATACTACCTTCAAACTGATTAGTTTGATGGTGTATATTCAAACAAAACGATTGCCGGTTTCATAACTTGGTTTTTTGAAAAACAATCTACAATTGAGGATACTATTTAACAACACGATAAGTCAAACACTGATCACTTTAATTAAGATTTATGCATTCAAATACCATTAAGTTCTAAAGTTGACGATGAAAAACTCAATTGATTAGATGTAAAACTACCTAACAGTTTGCATAATATCAATATACACTGATATGTAGAAGGCGTTCAACTCGAAAGTATCAACTGTAGATTTGATCAAGAACTGATTGTAATGGTGTTGTTCAAATGAGATGTAAAATTAATAGAATAATGTAAAAGGAAACTTGTCATATCTCACTTATTTACTTACGCCTGTTACCCCTCGTAGGTGAGCATACGCCGCCCACAAACACTTTCCACTCTCCACATCACTTTCGAAGAAGTACTAATATTCTAAATTTTTAAATGAAAAGGTTAACTACAACTTCCAGTCTCATTTCAACTTAGAAAAATCTGTTTAGTTAGTTGTTGTTTATGTAGTATGTAAAATGACTGGCATATCTAAGTAAATCTCCAGATAAAATTGATGGATAATGAAATTCATTAATGGGACAGACATAAGAAATATGTATTATATTTTGTCAAACAGGCCTTACTGTTGAGATGACGAAAATAGTTGATAACTCAGGAGAATTATTTTAGTGAAATTAGGCTCTTTGAACTGAGTGATATTATCATGAAACATTTAATATCTTCCTAGACAACATTATCAGCGATTCAGAAAATTTTGAGTAATTATTACTTTTCAGCAGATGTCTAACAGCTAGTTCTGTCAATATTTGATGAGAAGCAGTGAGATTCATTCATTAGATGTTGGCTGGAGGTAGTCGACAGGAAACCCTGAACCTTGGTTTCGTGCTTTTTGGTACTCGTCAGCAAGGTGTACCTGTGATCTTGAGGGAACTGGTGCTCCCTGGCAGATCCGATCCCATGTCACCTAGCTTCACAGTCAGAGACGTTACCACTGAGTTATCCGGGCCACAAATGACCTCCTGTAGGACTTGTCGATAGCATTCGATCTGCACTAAAAAGGACTTGACACACATGACACTGATCACCACCCAGTTATCAATCAATTGTGAGATCCATTCATTTCTGACTAATAAAAAAAACCATTAGCTGGTAAACTTAACACCAATTCATCGATTACACCAATATTTGTTGACAATTGCGATAACGCTGAAATCTTGTGTAGGGGGGTGACATAAAGAAGATCAGAGAATTTCTAAAAGCATAACATTCAGTTCAGTTAGTAATTAATAAGCAAATTGAAATAAATCTAAATTATCAATCAAAGTAAAGACTGTCAAACAAAAAATGTAAACTATAGTGGAACAATTTTTGACAACATCATATCCTATTTAGATTTGACAAATAAGCTATTAGATAATTGTAGAGAAATCCAAATACCTCACTTCTTTCTGAGACTTGTGTCAACAGTGGTTTCTCGAAAGATAAGAAAGAACTCACAATTAAAACAATCATTTATGGGGACAAAATTTCAGCAAATATTTTACTATGAACAAAAACAGGCAATTATTATTAAGGTTGATTATACACTAACTGGACACTATGTTTATACTGAAACATCTCTACAGTGATTGAAAGCCAGCGTTAAATGAGATGATTTTACACTCCTTATAGTTACCAAACATCTCATGAATACAGGACATCGGACCAATACCTTGCAATCTTTCAAAGTGATTAATAAGCAGTCAAACTCCAGTCTTCTGAAGTTTGCTGAAACCGTTACTATCAGGCGTCAAAAACCTGATTTATATGTTCAAAAGGAGATGGTTGTTAATCTATCCTTGCCTGGATGATAAATATTCCGATAATACTATAATTTATAGACGACTGTTGAGCAACACTAGAATGACCTTGGGATGTTCACCTTCTTACCAGGGTTAAATGAGGCTTATAGAATAGTATGAAGGAATTAGTATTAAAATTTGCAGTTGAATGTTAGGGTGAGGAATTAGATTTAATGTTTTCATCATAAACTGATATCAGATATAATGCCAAAATGGTATTTAACCAAATAAATGAATGAATTCCGCATCGAAATCCAAGATTTGCTATCTTAAATGTGATTGGTTCGTGCATTAATTATAGTCTCGCGGGTATTCCTTCATTGCATCTTAAAAACTTTTTTCAGCTCTTATTTAATCACATTATTACGTCTTTTTATTCCGACTATCTTTCAGACTAGTAAAGTTATTTTATGAACTGAACTTTACTCATTTTTACTAGCCTTTACTGATTATGTAATCACTTATCTCTAGTCCTTTGGACTCTTTTTACAATCAATGTTGTAAAATTTTCTTTTACATAAGGGATTGATTTACAATACTTTATTTATTTACTTACTTACTTACTTACGTCTGTTACTCCCAGCGGAGCATAGGTTGCCGAACAGCATTCTCAAACCCACTCTGTCTTGGGCATTCCTTTCCAATTCCATCCTATTCTTGTTCATTTTTCTCATGTCTATCTCCATTTCCCGGCGTAATGTGTAATTGGTCTTCCTCTTCACCCCCAGTGGCCTTGGGGTCTGGTCAATGGATCCGAAGTATTTTGCGTGGACAACTGTTTATAAACACTTGTATCGTCTGGATGATGGCTTTCGTAGTTCTTCAGGTTTCTTCCCCATACACGAGAACTGTGTTGACATTTGCATTGAAAATCCTGACCTTTGTGTTTGTTGACAGTTGCTTTGAGTTCCAGATGTTCTTCAGTTGTAAATATGCTGCTCTTGCTTCACCGATCTGCTCTTTCACATCTTCATCAGACCCACCATGTTCATCGATGATGACAATACTTTATTTAGTCTATCAAATTTATTTACAGCCTTACCATACTAGAATGATGTGTCTTCTAAATAACTTCCAACTAAACTCTTTTAATGTAAATAATCTAAACCGATTTTGTAATTATGATTTTAAATACCACAGGTTGTAAGCAGTTGATGAGGATGAAACAAAATAAAGTGAATTTATGTTATTCTTTTTGTTTTTGCTTATTTGTTATTCGTATTCTGTGAATATATTTAGTGACCATATATCTGACTTCAATTAGATCGTATGAATGATGATTATCGAAATATACATTCTTGTTATCCTCGTATATATATATAATTATCGACTTAATTGAAGTTAGTGAATAAACGGAGTTAAAACAAGTCAAATATGAGAATGGACTTTTGAATATGTAGATTTTGTACAATCATTAATCCAAGGAGATGATCACATGAACAAAGTGAATTGAAATGATGTACAATGGGGAAAGCAAATGACCCAACTTCTATTTCATCAAGCATTAATCAATCATTATAAGTAGATAAAAAAAATAGGTTATAAAAATGTAATGAATAGGATAAGAAATGTACATACAAATATGCTCATATCAAAGTTGATAAGTGAATCATCAAGATGATCAAAATGTCACTCAAAAAGAAGAAATATCAATCAACTTGTCCAAAATCTAGAATAAGTTAATATGAACTTAACATAGTAACTAACACTATAGATATGATCGTTCTAAAAACAACAAAATCTATTCACTATCCTACTTGTACTTTCATAAATGTTTGCATGAATTAAAGTGATTATTATAATTGCCACAATTACGAATTTTTTTTAACTTTACCTTTTTAGTCATTTAACGTTAATTTTTCTTTTTTTTCTTTTTTTTGGTTCTTTTTCTTTTGTTCTTCATCTGACCCTTTAGAAACCACGCTGATAAATGATGTTCACTCATTCGTTGGTTAAGTTGCCTGGTAGTACGACCGATATAGTGATCTCCATAAGTTTATTTATTATTCTATGATAAAGGGATTTATACATGAAATAGTATTTATGATAATCAAATTCATTTATAAACAAACAAACAAACAAAACTCGATTTTTCAACGAAAAAAAATAAACGTTTTTTGAGGATAATTAAAAACATTAAGAAAGAAAAATTGTAATCCATATTGATTGATGTGAATCCACCCAAAATAATGAATCGAATTGAGTAAATGGAGAATAAACAAACAAACAACCAACCAAATAAAAAGAAACTAAATCATCTCTAAATTGTAATTGATGTAATTCTGATTGTCCTTTGTTTGTTTGTTTTCTATGATGATGATGATGATGATGATGATGATGATGATGATGATGATGATGATGATGATGATGATGATGATGATGATGATGATGATGATGATGATGATGATGATGATGATGATGATGATGATGATGATGATGATGATGATGATGATGATGATGATGATGATGATGATGATGATGATGATGATGATGATGATGATGATGATGATGATGTGATGATGATGATGATGATGATGATGATGATGATGATGATGATGATGATGATGATGATGATGATGATGATGATGATGATGATGATGATGATGATGATGATGATGATGATGATGATGATGATGATGATGATGATGATGATGATGATGATGATGATGATGATGATGATGATGATGATGATGATGATGATGATGATGATGATGATGATGATGATGATGATGATGATGATGATGATGATGATGATGATGATGATGATGACGATATATAGTCCATGTTATGATTAATAACTGATCATATAATAATTCATTATTATTCAATTAACGGATTAGAATATTAAAAAGTAATTGTCATAACTTGTCGTTTGAATGTTTATTGTCTTGACTCTTTTCATGCTACGTTTTGTATCTGGTCGTCGCTGATTGTTATGCCGCAAAAACGCCGATCACTTATACTCAGAATGAGGGACCTATGCAATTCCCACGACGCGAAATTAAGTACACAAAGACTGGTATAAGTGATAATTTATTAACCTCAAAATACGATGATGACGACGACAACTCTAGTAGAAAATATACTCATTTATATATTGATTATACACCCCATTTTGATTAATAATTAGGAGGAAATCACATATATGAAAAATATTCCAGCATATCAGTAATATATAAGATTTGTATGTTTTATAGTAACCAAATGTAATTGGACAAGCAATTATAGAATCTCTTGCTAAAATCTGACAATCATACAGTAAATACTTCATTTGCAAAATATCAATTAATTGTCTCAAACTTTATTATTCTCTCATTTCCATATCAATTATTCTGTGTTCTCATTCCCTTTCTTTGATCTTCTTAACCATCTATCATTAGGCATTTTATTTTCGATTGATGATATATACTACTTATATCTATCGATATCAGTAGCATACATCATAATATCAAGAAACAATAATAAATTATGAATTATTATGCATGAAACTAAAAAAAATAAACTTAACATGAAATAGTCAGTCATTTTTTAACTGTTCAAGAAAGTTGACAATTAAGTCATCTTACAGAATTTATTCAACAACCTACTGTGAGAGAGAACAAACCAGATTCCAGTGGAGGAAGAAATCAGGAAGAAGCACTGGAAGTGGATAGGACACATATTGAGGAAAGTACCCAATTGAGTCACAAGGCAACTCTTCAAATGGAATCCGCAAGGACAGAGGAAAAGAGGAAAACCAAAGAACACATTAGGCCGGGAAATGGAGATAGACATGAGAAAAATGAACAACAATTGAACAGAACAGGAAAGGAATGCCCAGGACAGAGTGGGTTGGAGAATGCCGGTCCCAAGCCCGGATAAAGGAGGAAAGTTTGGCATGGGGTTAGCGATCCCATCCCGTAGAAAACTAACTCGCTAAAAAACGCTAACCAGAAAAAAAATTATTCACTTTATACAAGATAATAAACGAATACTATATAAACGATATTTTCATGTAATTATACATTTTAATGACATTCCATAGATTTTTATAATAGTCTAATATGGTATTCAATATTCAGTCTATCACTATTACATTCAATGATTTTCATAGATTAAGATCTATGTCTTATACTGGTTTCAATAAGATATTGTTTACGAAATTAGGAATGTAATGCTTAAATATATACTGTTATAATCTATTCTCCAGATTTTCAGTAATTCTCTATGACTATAAGAGTGAATTATATTTTAAAATGAGTTACAAGATTTCATTTATTTGAACACATAAATCTTAGTACGAAGGATCATCGAATACATATACTCCATACAAGTCACTTGATTTGTGTGTGGGCTGTGATACTGACTGGGTGTCGAGGGCGAGACTCTAATTTAGGGACGAGCCAATCAGAAGCGTTTGAGCAATTTCAAGGTCACGGAGCCAAGTTCAACACGCGCTGCTAACATACAATCGGTTCAAGCGGATTTTAGAGAGTAGGTGATTAATGAGAGGTTACAACAGATGGGACGACGAAACTATAATTTAGGGACGAGCCAATGAGAAGCGTTTGAGCAATTTCAATTATTAGCCAATCAGAAGACAGTATAAAGTAAAAATATATTACAAGAAAGTAATGAATTACAGTGGATATTCTTTTATATGATTTAAAAAACTTGTTAAGGTTTGATAAAGTTTCAGAAGTTCTGTATTCATAATGCATATTGTATAGAAACTCGTCCATAGGGTTAGGGTTTGGGGTTAAAATTAGGGTTAACGGTTAGGTTAAGGTTAGGGTTAGATTAGGGTTTAGGGCTAAGGTTAGATTAGGATTTAGGGTTAGGTTAAGGTTAGGGTTAGATTAGGGTTTGGGCTAAGGTTAGGGTTTTTGGGTTAGATTAGGGTTTGGGGTTAGGGTTAGGTTTGGTTAGGGTTAGGGTTAGGTTAGGGTTAGGTTAGGATTAGGGTGCTAACATGCGATCGGTTTATATCGGATTTTAGAGAAGATGTGTCTACTTACAGGCCACAACCCTAACCACTAACCCTATGGACGAGTTTCTATATAATATGCATTATGAATTCAGAGCCTCTGAACCTTTATCAAACCTCAACAAGTTTTTAAATCATGTAAAAGAAGGATATCCACTGTAATTCATTACTTAATTACAATATATTCTCACTTTATAATAACTGTCTTCTGATTGGCTAATAATTGTCAAGGTCATTTAAGATTCGTTCAAAGGTCGTCGCTAAATTAGAGTCTCGCCGGTGTTGAGTCCTAACCAGGCAGTTTTCTTAAGGATCACACTCCGAGCCTTTAACCTCAAGGTCTAATCCACAAGGCAATGGAGCAACGTAAGCTGATGCAGTTCTATGGTAGCTAGTGATCAATAATGGTTCATACGCCATTTGTTCCTTCAGGATACTTGAGCCCATGTGCACCATTCGTTTAAAATCAACGTCGTCCAACTCCCCTAGGTGGACTCTCCATGTCCACTGACCCATTTAAAGCGCCAGACATTCACTTTTCATCCTCTCAATTTCGTAAACAACGCTCCCGCCGTGAGAAGGCATTGAGTTGGACTTCCCTGACAGTGACTAAATTACAAATTTATTCCTTACGAAAGGCAGAAAACCTTGTATCAAATATTTTTTCACTTTCGAAATTTGACAGTACACTCGCGGCCTGTTCGAGCATTTGGGCTACCTGTTCCCGCCATCTAGATATTTCAAAAAGTTATTTATTTTTGTTTGTTTTAATATGTGTCATTATGTCTATTAATCGCACAACCTATTCTGGTGCATTTCTGAAAAGTGTACAACTTTTCGTTGTCAAAGTTATAAAAAACCCAATAAGAGATAATGTGGTCGCTGGCAATATGCAGAGAAAAGAATATACATTATTCACATGTTCATTTACTGGACTGCTAACATCTAACTGGCGATCACTCAATATTTATCGCCAGAATCGACCAAGAAGTAAAAAACGGTAACTTGTTGAAATACTTTGTGCTGAGAATTCTATATTTTACCAAAAGTATCATATTGAATAAAGCTTATAATAATATAATGTAATGATAATATAATATATCTATAGTAAAGGGAAACCTATGATCAGATTAGTGATTCAAACTCTGGACATTGATCGTTACAATAGGAAACGTGACTAAAGATCCTTAATATAAATTATTCACCAGCAAAATGTATGTAGACAGACACATTGTACTATTTTTTCCTTTTATTTTTAATAACTTGGTGGTAGACTATATTACTTTGATTATAGATCTCAGTAATTTTTTGTCTACTTTATTCGTTCTCACATTATTCTATCTGATTATTTATGCTTTACAAATGAACCAATTATTATTTATTTATTTCAACACATAAATATTGGTACAAGAGGGCACAAATTATATATGCGCCACACCATATTTGTGTGTGTGGGGGGGCTGTGATACTGCCCGGGTGCCCAGATCGAAGCAGGTGGTTTTCTTAGAGGGCCACACCCGGAGCCTTTGGCCTAAAGATCTGATCCACAAGGCAGTGGAGCATCGTGAGGAGATGCATTCCCATGGTAGCCTGTGTCCAACGATTGGTTCATGCACCATTTGTTCCCGAAGGATACTGGAGCTCATGTGCACCATTGGTTTGGAATCCGGTTAAATCGCCGGACATTCGCTTTTCGTCCCCTCAATTTCGTAAACAACAGTTATGCTACGAGAAGGCATTGAGTAGGACTTCCCTGGCAGAGGCTGTATACGCGTGGACGTGTGAGAGTATTTCGAGAGGGGCATTTGGGAGCATTTAGTATAGGATTAGTTTGTTTGTTTGTTTTATTTTGTAAATTATATTAGACTCAACTTGCTATTTAAACTATTTGCTTTCATATGATTTTTACGTAAATTTAAGTGAAATATATTTAAGCTAGACAATGTTTGTACTGTTATTTACAATAAACTACTAACAAGCTATCCTAAAAGCAAAGATCATATCAGTAGTATGTGAATATGATTAATTTTCCTTCCTTCCCCCCCCCCTAAAAAAAACAGCAATCCAATGTAAACGAATAGATTATTATCACAAGATCATAAATATACAAATCGTGATCCTATACATTCAGTTCATAGAAAGAGGTAGTTTTATTAGTGTTACTACTTTTCTCCCAACACTTTAATTTCTTTTCAAGTTTCACTGTCGGTAATCTCCTAATGATGAATTTTAGTAATCCAGTAAAGTATTTATTTAGGTTCATTGCTTACTCATAAAAACAATTCACAATTATCAACTTAATAAATCTTCAATATTTATAAAAGTAGGACTAACTCATTTGATTTAAGTGTAAAACGTTTATCATTTAGTAGTCAATTTAATTCAATTCCAAATTGAAGTTTTTATCGAAGCTCATTGATTAATGAATGTAATTCTGTGATTATAATAAATAATTCAATAAAAAACGATAAGAAACCTTATAGCAGATTCATTAATAAAGCATATATACAATCATTAAAAACCTAGAACATCATTCTTGTTACAATCGAAATGGTTACCACCATAACAGTATGTTATATCTTGTCACCGCCGGTTAGAGAACAGTGATTTATCGATCGAACCAAGGACGCGTAAAATACGTGCAAGCAGCCTAGAGTCTTGATTAGTCCTGCTTTCCGCCTAGCCCAGCCAGTTAAGTCCAGAACACCAATCTCAGCCTCTGCAATATGAATCATTATATTTCAAACATACTGAGTTTATATACCAATCAAACAGACCACAACGTACCATAAAATAGAAAATAACATGTGTACAAAAT